GCACAAAAAAAAAAAAAAAAAAAAAAAAAAAAAAAAAGATTCATTCCATTCTACAGTTGTGCATTGGTTTATCACTACCTATTCAAATCTTTGACTTGGGCTCTGAAGATGTTCTCTGACATAAAAATACATTACCTTCCTTTAATGTTTTTCCCCCACTAGGTTGCATTGCTCGAACTGTAAGCTCACCAAACCAACATCTGTTGAGAACTGATGATGTCATCAGTTGCTGTTTAGATCTCAGTGCCCCAAGCATCTCATTTCGAATTAATGGACAACCTGTTCAAGGAATGTTTGAGAACTTCAACATTGATGGCCTCTTCTTCCCAGTTGTTAGTTTCTCTGCAGGAATAAAGTTAGTATGTCTATGTTCTTTTGGTCTGTTTCCCTTCTCACTTCTCATACGTCCACAGACGATGCTGCACTGCTTCCGCCCCTGGCCTCTGCTTCTCTAACCTTTGTTTCTCCCTCCTGGGCATCTGTTCGCAGGGCATTTTGCCTGTTCCTTGAAGGAAAAGGTAAGGCTCGCCCAAAGGGGAATCTCAGGATGCTGAATGCTTTGCCCACGGAGTCTACCATTTAGATGTGGTCAGTCTAGTAACTCTCCTGCAAACCAGTGTCCTGAAATATTTCAAGTCCATTTCTTAGGTTCATCTTTTTAATTTCATCAGGGGAAGTGAGCAATATTGTTTAAAAAAATACCACTTATTTTCTTATATTTATTTTCAATAATTTTTCTTTTTTTTTCTGCCGTAGTTCTCCACCCCACTGCAACCCCCCTCATTTCTACAGAAATTAAATGTCCTTTTCATTGATGAGGTCTAGATGGTTCCTCTCAACGTTTCCCTCCATCTGTTACACTTATAAATGCTCTGCCTATGATCGACTATCAAGATAGATTCCTCTCTTTCCTTTTTTGCTATTACCAGAGGAATATAAATTAAAATTACAATTCTCTGGAGTTCTACAAAGAAAGCCTTAATAAATAGTGATCAATTGTAATAAGGGGCTACTCTGTCATCTATTTATTTATACATATAAACCTAACAAGAGCGCTTCCCTGTTTCTACTGACCACTCATTTATTCTGGTTTTTCCTTTAGTTATAATTCTCTTCCCAGGATTTAGTTACAAAAGCACCATATTGAAGAAAGGACAGAATAATCATGAAATATTAAGTATCCATGTATCAATGACCTTTTCTGCTGTATTTACCCAAATTAAGTTTTTTCTGATAAACTTCTGGACTGTTTTAAAGTTTTTGTTTCTTTTTATTCTTTGCTTTTTATTTTTTTTTTTGCTCAGGAATTAAAAATACATATTAGAAAAAGAATTACATGAAAATGAAAAATTTGAATTTATTTTTGTAAGCTGATAGCTCCTAGAAATTGGTGGTGGTTAACTGTTTCAAAAGTGTTGTTTAATGGAACTCAGATAAAATTATTTTCAACTATTATGAGTATGGTGTATTAAAGATTTCAGTAATTTCTTTTTTTGTTATTGTTGAAATGGATAAACAATAAGAAATTAGTTTACCTGCTTTTCTTAGCAGGTGGAAGTGACATCTGAATTCCCTTCAAGGAATTTCATTAGGAAACTGGGCACTGGAAAATGACTGTTTTTTCCTCATATCTAGCCCAGCCTTGTAATTTAAAGCATATAGACACTAAGTCTATGTTTTCTCTTTATCTGTTGATTACTTGGGCACCTTGGGACATTAAGTGACCTGCTACTGTGGACAGGAACTTCATTCAAGTAGCAATACGATGCATGTTTTAGTTATTTCTCCAGTGAGTGGTAAGTCTCCACAGATCCATTAACATAATTTAATCAGGTTTTCTCTTTTGACACATATGACACCCTCATGTTTTACTTCTTATAATTTAGAGGTTATTAGATTCTAAGGAGATGACATTATGATGGTACTTAGTGGGGGAAATTTGGCTTCTGAAAAAGTTAATTTTGTACTGATACTTTTTTCCTAATATTTTGTTGATTAGAAAACTGTTACGTACACCCGAGCTATAATTGACTCTGATGTGCATCTTTTTTAGGGTACGCTTTCTGCTTGGGGGGCGACATGGAGAATTCAAATTCCTTCCTCCACCTGGGTATGCTCCTTGTTATGAAGCTGTTCTGCCAAAAGAAAAGTTGAAAGTTGAGCACAGCCGAGAGTACAAGCAAGAAAGGACTTATACGCGAGACCTGCTGGGCCCCACAGTTTCCTTGACACAAGCCGCTTTCACGCCGATCCCTGTGGATACCAGCCAGGTATGAGGATCAACTTTAATGACCACCATTTGTGCTGTCATTCTGTTATGCAGTGGCTTTCAAACTTGGACTGCAACCCACAGGAATGCATTTCACAGGAATACCATGGCCACTTGCCTATTTTCTCTTCTATTTCTTTCTTTCTTTTTTTTAATTAAAGAAAACTTAAAAAAACATTAAATTGATTTCATAATGCACTAATGGGTCACAGTCTGAAGTTTTATAAACACTATTCTGAGTAGTCTTTAAGGTTTGATTAAAACAGTTACTATTATTTAGGTCCTAAAATGCATGTTATACATTTTAAAATTAGGCAATAATAGCCACAGTTGGAACTTAGTGGCAAAAATTATACCAGCAATTTTAAGGTGTAAAAATATTAAGATGATTTTATGTCTGGAGTTGTGTACTGCACTTGAAGTGATACCACATAGATGTAATATATACTAATTTTAGAGTGTACTTTTTTACATACAGTAGACATGGAGTTTTAAATTTATTCTGCCATCTACTTACACTTATTATTTTGAAGATAGTTAACTAACCTTTATCTTGGGTAGAGATTGAGGTCCCGGGCTCTAGAGTCACAATGCCTGGGCTCAAATGCCTATTCTGGGACCTTGGGGAAGTTACTCACCTTTTTGACTGGGATGCTAAGAATAGGTTTGACATAGTTAATAGATAACAAATTACTTGGCAAATGGGCACCCAAGAAACATTAGTGATTATTCATGCTTTTCTGTTTCATACATGTAATGGTATCCTCAGATTGACAATGAATTAAATATTGCTTTATTTTGATGGTGACATAATTTCAGTGAGGTTGCTTACATATTCAAGGCTTGTTTACTAGTTTCCAAAGATCAATGGCATTGTTTCTAAAGTCTGAAGTTGAATTTATACCAGGCCCCAGAAGCTCCAGCTTAGCTCCTTGAATCATATTTCTTGTTTCTCCATGCTGGCTTTTTATATTTTGTAGTTAAAATAAACATGCAAGCATTGTTCACGGCTGAAATTCACTTTGTGTTTTCCACTGCTGACAGGGGGCAGAATATGTATAGTGCTACCTAAGTTTAGCAGAAAACATAATTAGGAGGATAGAAACACACAACTAGGTTATGCAGTGGTAGCACGTGGAGGATTACCTGAGACCTAGATAACCACTATTGTTTCCAGGAGAGGAAACCATGATCACCTACTTCTTTTGGAAATGCCACCTCATCAATGGGCATCATAGGCATTTGCGTGCTCTATTTGTTGAGGGACTAGTTGTAGGGTCACACAGAAGTGCCTTATCAAGACCTAAACAACTAATCCCTCACCTTGAAAACCAGTTTGTGTTCTTTATGATGAGGTAATTACACTTCTTCCTTTCAAATGGGAACATGTAAAGATTTTATTCCCTGAGGCTTCTATTTGGAAACAACTAAAAGTAAGAGTAAAGTTAAGGGAAAACATAAGTCACTGCAATTGGACATTTACAAGCTCAAAAAGCTGGTGGATTATAACTTGAGCACTGAATTGCTTTCACCTGGCCTATGGATATTGGCCAGGCTGGTGTAAGAACTTCAGGGTGATTTCTCATTTTAAATAATGCATGCTTTGGTAGTTGTCCAATATGTATTAAACATCTTCCAGTTGTCCAACACTCCATTTTCTTTGTTCATAAATTTACTTGGAAACCTAAGTTGTAAAAAAAAGGTCCCACAATTTATCTAAAGAATGTCATGAAATAGATGGTTTAAAAACTAGTTATATTATTATATAATAATGTTTTATGAGAGTTTTATTTAGTTCAATTCACAGTGAGGACAATTGGCACTGCGTCTTGATGCGTTTGTTTCATTACTCATGTGTGTTTTCTTTTTCTTTTTCTTTTTTTAAATTTAGATCGTGTTGCCTCCTCACCTGGAAAGGATAAGAGAAAAACTGGCAGAGAATATACATGAACTCTGGGTTATGAATAAAATTGAACTTGGCTGGCAGTATGGTCCGGTACATAATTTTGAAGTTTTTTCAGATTCTGTTAATATATCTTTTTGAAAACGCAATGTTTTCTGCTATGCTGTCGTGCTATGGGGTGGCATGAATCAATTAGATTGGTTTTTTTCCCCTACACATTAGTTTTTGTGCAGTTTTTCTTTATTAGATGGACTGACATTATTGGTGGAGTCACTGAAGGATGGCTTGGTTGCCTAGACAGTTGAAAAGTTATGTCTTTGGGCCGAAAATTTTCAAATCAATGTTAATATATAGAGACAATAGGCATTGATTTGTAAGCCAATTAAAAAAAAATCTCAGTGAAATTGCAAGTGAAAACTGAAAATGAAAAGAAAGAAGTCCATTTACTTTTACCTTTTCCATGTTTCTCTTCTCTTAGTCCCAACACTGTGTAACAGCAAGAGACCTGTGGGCAAAAGTTCACAGTTGGTTTCAGAGGTAGAAGACGTGCTGAGAAATAACAACTGCATCTGTTCCCAAATGATTATTTACCAAAGATCTTTATAATTTCCCAGTAAAATTCCGATTTTTGAAAAATCAAGCAACTTCCTATGTAATCTCAGTGTATCATATACCTGTTTGCAGCAGGACCATTGTAGTACCTTCATTTTTATAATATTATCCTAAGTATCCCAAAGGCTGTAACACTTTCTTATACTTGACTGAATATGGAAATTAGTGTATTCACCCAGGTCAAGTTTATTGCATGGAGCTCTGAATAAAGGACATTTATTATTAGTGTTCATAATGACACTAAGTGACACCCCACACTAGTCAGTAGGGTTGATATACATATTTATTCAGTGCTTTGCATTCTGACATACAGGTCATTAGGTTAAATTGCCATCACAGCGCACTGGGTTATGTGTTATTATTTCGGTTTTCCTGGCGATGACATAGATGAGGAGTCTCATGGATTTGCTAAATACCTTGGCAGATGTCACGTAATTATGTAGCAGCTCTGGGAGAGGAATCCAGGCTTTCGAACTTCTAGTTTACAACTGCTTTTCACTCAAAGAGTTGCTGAAGCCTAGCCAGAAGCTGGGATGCTTTCATGAACTAAATAATGGTCAGATACTTGTTACATCCGCAAACACTTTTTAAAATACTTAGTTTGAGGGCTGATACTTGTTACATCCGCAAACACTTTTTAAAATACTTAGTTTGAGGGCTGAATCTACTGATTCAACTGAGGCAATGGATCTGGCGGCGGCTGCAGGTTGCCCAGCGCGCACGCGCAAATGCCCTCTGGGCTGCGGCTTCCGGTGCGCAAGCGCAAACCCGAGATGGGCCGCGGCTTCGTGCGCACGCGCAAACTCCCGATGGGCGGAGGCTTCCGGCGCGCGCGCGCTGTGGGACATAGCGGGCAGTCGGCAGCTCGGCTCCTTTGCGCCTGCGCGGCCCTGGCTGACTGGAAGGACCATGGCACCAGAAGTCCAGTTCGAGGGCCGGTCCTGACTCCTCTGGCCGAGGTCCTGCCGCTTTCACCCCCCCGTGAGCCTCCTTCCATTCGGGGCTGGTGCTTTCGAGCGTCCAGTGGCCTGGACCCCCGAGCGTGGAATGGTCGCCGAGGCCCAGGGCGTCGGGATTCCGCGCGTCCGGTCGTGAAGGGAACTGGGGAGCCTCGAGGGACACCCCCACTGCAAGCGCGAAGTCCCCTGGTGAGAAACAGACAAATGTGCAGTCCCCACATATCTGTGTCAGTTGCTAGTGATGTGACCTCCTCACAGACCCCAGCTTCTGAGCAAGAGACCCTGGTTAGACCAAAGCCATCGCTTGCGGACTTGTTCAAGCCTGTTGGTGCAAGGAACGACTCTTACACTGTGAAAGAGGTCGCGTTTTATCTTGGCCAATATGTTATGACAAAGCAGTTATATGAGGGAAAGCAGCAACATGTTGGATATTGTTCAAACGATCTTCTTGCAGGTTTGTGTGGAGTGCTGAGCTTCTCTGGGAAAGAGCGCGCGAAAATATGTACAACGATCTGCAGAAAGTTGATAGGAGTCAGTCAGCAGGAACCATCAGACTCAGGCACATCTGTGAATGAGGCAGGTGTCACCTTGAAGATGGGAGTGATCAAAAGGACCCTGTGCCAGAGCTACAGGAAGAGAAACCTTCATCTTCAAGTTTGGTTTCTAGACCATCTGCCTCGTCTAGAGGGGGAGCAGTTAGTGAGACAGAAGAAAATTCAGTGAGTTGTCTGGTGGACAACAAAGAAAGTGCCACAGATCTGATAGTATTTCCCTTTCCTTTGATGAAAGTAAAGTGTGTTGTGAAAAGGAGTAGACTTACATCGTTAGGGACTCCATCAAATCCAGATGTTGATACTGTAAATGAATATTCAGGTGATCGGTTGGATGAGGGAGGATCCAGTTTCATATCAGTTTAGTGTAGAATTTGAAGTTCAGTCTCTTGGTGCAGAATATTATAGTCTTAACAAAAAAGGACAAGAACTCTCAGATGAAGATGATGAGGTATATCCAGTTACTGTGTATCAGGCAGGGAAGAGTGATACAGATTCATTTGAAGAACATGCTGAAATTTCCTTAGCTGACTAGTGGGAGTGTACGTCATGCAATGAAATGAATCGTCCATTTCTACTGCATTGTAACAAATGTTGGGGTCTTTCTGAGAATTGGCTTCTGGAAGATGAATGGAAAGATAAAGGGGAAATCCCATAGAAAGGCAAACTAGAAAATTCGACAAAAGCTGAAGAGGGCTTGGATGTTCCTGACTGTAAAAAAAAAAAAAAAAATACAGTGAATGACTTCAGAGCGTCGTGTGTTGAGGAAAATGATAAAATCATGCAATGCTCCCAATCACAAGAAAGTGAGGACTGTTCTCAGCCATCAACTTCTACTAGTGTTATTTATAGCAGCCAAGAAGATGTCAAAGAATTTGAGAGGGAAGAAACACAAGACAGAGAAGGAAGTGTGGACTCCAGTTTCCCCCTTAATGCCATTGAACCGTGAGTGATTTACCAAGATCAGCCTAAAAGTGGCAAAACCATCCTCTTATGGCATGCTTTACATGTGCCAAGAAGCTAAAGAAGGAATAAGCCCTGCCCTGTATGTACACAACCAATTCAAATGATTGTGCTAACTTATTTCTCCTAGTTGACCTGTTCTTAAAGGTAGAAATATATTTCTAATTATATAACCCTAAAAATTTAGACTTGACAATTATTTTTATTTACATGTATCAAAGCAAGAAAAGTCTATGTAGATTCCTTCTCTTTAGTGTAATTTTTCTACTTTGGGAGGGGGCATAGTAAATATTTACTTCCTTTTAGGAAAATTTCACTTCAGTTTATATTTCATATTTGAGTTTTAATTTAATTTGAATTGGATATATAGTTGATTCTTTACTCCTATCCCTCATATTTTAAATAATTTCCACTTAAATCAGAAGCATCTTTTAAAAAATATATAAATTGGATATTTAAGTATAACCTATTTAAAAAATTTAAGTAGGACATTTAAATGTAACTTATCCTTGTGTAAGAAGAAAATGTGAAAGACTTAATATTTAAATTTCATATACTCTTTTTTAAAACAAAGATATACTGATTTATTTATTCAAATAACAAATACGTAAACAATAAAATGAATAACAAAATACTCTGTAGAAAATAGTGCTTCAAATTTTTATAAAAATTGGAGATGTAAACTTTAATAAAATTTGCATATTTTTATAATCTTTAAAATTTTTTGAAATAACTCTCTAAAGTCTTCCAAAAGCATGCAAATATCAAATTAATTTCACCAGAACGTGAATAAACTTTTCGAAGGCAAATTAATTTCTAAGTAAATCAACAAGTCCAGTTAATAAAAAGAAACCAAGAACTGAAATTAAATATCTAGGTTTAGCAACATAAATTGCATTAAAAAATCAATAAAAGAGAATATAAACAGAAGGGCACTTCAAAAAGTTCATGGAAAAATAGAATTGAAAGATAATGGAGATCTTTCCATGCATTTTTTGTTTTGTTTATATTTCATATTCTCTTAAACTTTCTAATCCTTAGTCTTTCAGAGCCTCTTAAAAATATTCTTTCCAGATAAAAAAAAGAAATTGATAATCATACAAGGGTATTTGAAAAAATCCAGGGAGAGATTCATATTATCTTTTAATTTCATTTTTCCATAAACTTTTTGAAGTACCCTCATATTTGGTTCTATGTAAGTAAAAATATACTTTTTTTTTTTTTCCTGGCCTCTGTGGTATAGTAAGGAATAGGTGATAATGATGTTGTTGGTTGAGAATAGCCATCATTTACCTATAAGACAAAACTTTTTTAAGGCTCCTTAGTAAAATGTGGAATTGTCCTGGGAGTCTAACCTGGTACACCAGGCCCGTTTTCACACCTAGTTTTAGGATTTAGTGGAATCTATTGTTTCCCCTAAGTTGAAAAACAATTCCAAGACACTTCAACGTATCTTCTTGGGTTGGTTTACGTCTTTCCTGTTAGTTGCCTAGGTTTCAGACCTTTGCTTAAGTCAGTTTTAAAAACCAGTGAATGCAGAAAGATTAATTTAGAAATTTGACACACACAACTGTTCATTATAAAACTAGCTGGAAAGGTTATAACTTCTTCCTACATTATCCAGCAGTTATGTATCACTTTTCTTTAAGAACGACAGGATGAGAACATCTCTCAGACCGTGTAGACTAACTTCTTGGTTTATATTTAAATATGAATCTTCAGCAAAATAGTGAAAATAACCACCTTGATTTAAGGAATCAATATTTTTCTCTCTCCTGTGTACGTACTCAGGTGAGGACACTAAAATCAACTGAACTAAGTTTAGAAAAGAACGGTGGGATAATTTTGCACAGCAACTTTGTGTGTCAGTTACTAACTGTACATTGTTGGTATAAACTTCAGACACAGAAACCACACACACGACTTACTCATGTATACTTATCTAAGTAGGAAACAAATAACTGAAGGGATCAGCACTTTAGCTTTGGTGGTCCTCAACTACAGTAAAGCTTTATTAACTTGGAATTTATAATACTTCAACTAGAACTAAGTAGAATTCATCCTTTCTGAGGAGAGTTGGTAGCATAAATGAGATTATAAGTGGTGTACATTCAGGATATATGTATGCAATGACTGTGGTGTTTATATAACATTCAGATTCATGCAAATGGACTCATTATATGTCCTTTGGATTACTAATGTAGCCTTTCTTGATTGTCTTAAATTTTTAGGCTTAGTACACATATATTATTTATTGTTTTACAAATAAACGATTTATTGAGCGTTTGATTAAGAGAAAAAAATACCTGGGGAAATGTATAAATGCTGAGTAAAAGATTGAACCATCAATTAAAGTCAGTAGGAGGAGAAATATTATGTATGTGTCATAGTCAGTTACCAGAGGAATTACAGACAAAATTCACCAGAAGTCTCAAGATAAGGGAAAAATGATAAAATGATTGCAGGCTCGGAAGATTAAAAAAGAGTTCATGCAAAAAAAAAAAAAAAAAAAAAAAAAAAGAAAGAAAACCAAAAAAGGTCCACGTAGTGACAGCAACTATCTTACTGGGTTTTTGCTCAATGATGATGATCCCTATTGAAAGCTCAGAAGATCACCTAAATGATTAATTCTTGCAGTGAAGCCTTAGTTGTGTTTCTTATTTGAAAACCGAGGAGGAAAATATAAGGTCTCATTATTATCCATTCTTCCAGTTAAATTCAGTTCAGTTCAGTACCATAAATACTATCCCTGCTACGTTTACAGTGCCTCAGCCCTCTCCGCACAGCTGCCTCAAGATTCCCCTATGCTTGATCTGAGGTGGACTGAAGCAACCTTGGGCTTTAGGTGTCCCCTGGGGAGAGACTGAGCCCTTGGTTTCTTGTACTTTTCCTGGTGCAGGGAACGTGCTCAATAAATATTTGCTGATGGCATGAAACAGGAGTTTCCTCAGGACCCATTCTGGGCAGGCACAGCTCCAGGTACCATATTAGCAGATTATCGATTTGGGAGATTCTCAAAGTGACAGATGAAGAGATTTCACATCATGCTCTCATCTAATCTATGTATTGCAGCCTGCTTCATTTACAAGACCTTCCCTAACACGCCCTTTAATTAAGTGGTTCTGATTCCTGATTTTATGATCTCTGTTGTTCTAGACTAAGGTATGTGCCTGTTACTAGGTTAATTCCATAAATTTGTCAACGTTTTAAATAAGGTTTCAAAGTATTCCAGTGTATTTTATTTTATTTTTTGAGTGATTTATACATAGTTGCCTAGCACGGTGAATTTTATTTTTTGGCGAAGAAGATATAGTTTCTTTGGGATATATTTCACAGGAGCATCATGCAAGGCTCTATTTTATGGAATAATATCAAGCAGATCCATTCTGTCATTTATCTGTCCCTTTAACATTTATCGTATGCTTACTATCTGCCTGGTTGTGCTTGGTACTGAGGATCTAAAGTTGGAAAGACCTTGACTTCAAGGTACTATGTTTGCCTTTTAGGAGCTTCCTGTTTAGTTTAGTTATAGACATGCAAACAATCACAGAGTCAAAAAAGTACTTAGGTCCTTCCTGGGAAATCAGGAGGAGGTAATCATTTCATCTGAGGCATGAGGGATGGTTACAAGTTGGCTAGCAATCAGAGAGCAGAACCATATTCTAGGCACGTGTAAAAGCAAGGAGGTGGAAGGACAGGACATTTGCAAAGTAGCACAACATTGCCAGAGGACAAGAAGAAGCTGAAGTGCAAAATAGAGGTGGGAAGTCTGGCCAGGTAAGCCGGCCGGAGGCAGGTCACAATGAGCTTTTGGCAGAATATAATTTTATTGTGCAGGGGGCTAAAGAGCACTGAAGAGTGCTTAGGAGGAAGGTGATTGTCTTGAGTCTGTGCGTTAGAAAGAAGCTGTACTGTTAGTGTGTAAAGAGCAGTGAGCCTGAGGCAGGAGGAAGGGCAGGGAGGGGCGCAGGTGTGCCAGGTGAGAGGGGATGAGTGTCACACCTCTTTGCTTGGCTCTGGAGATGGAGGGACACAGTTACAGGAGATGGGTCAGAGTTCAGGTGCGGGATGTGGTAAGAGAGGGAAGGAAATCTGGACAGATTTTTGGTTTTAGCTTGGACACCTGAAAGGATGGTGGTAGTTTTTCTTTGATGGAGAGGGTAAAGGGAAAGAGGAGATTACTTAAAAGGGGAGGAGATTATCACAGGACTTGGACACATTCGTTTTTATTTTTATGTTTAGAATTTAGCGATTTAAAGTTTAGATTTCGTAGTTACATATTTAAATAAGTATATACTAGGGTACTTGGAAAAGTTCATGGAAAACGAGAATTAAAAGATTATATGAATCTTTCCATAAATTCATAATTACCTTGTATAGTATATGCTTCCATGTAAGTCTTGTTCATTTGCAATGATCACCAGGGAGAAAGGAATAAAGACGTTATTTCTAACTTGGTGACTCCTGAAGACTCTTAAAAATTTTTTCGCCCCTGTTTGCATACTTATTATGTGGCATTTATAGAACCTGATAATTATACCCATGGAGTAATTTGCTCCCTGATAGCATATGGCTGTCATCTAGGTTCCACCAAGGCAGTAATGCCTGTGTAATTTAGGTCTCTAAGAAGATAAAAACCTAATTACTAATGCAAGGATTGAGAACATCTCATTAATTCATTCCTAAAATCTTGTATTTAGTTTAAGGTGATGGCTAATATGCATTTGCAAGGATTACTGTGAAAAATGCCTCTGTTATGCTAACTGATTTTGTTAAAGTAGTGGAATGATTTGTGAGAGCGAGAGGTAACTTATACGGGATAAAATAAACAGCCAAAACCACCTCAAAGAATTTCTATCGTCAGTCATGTCCTTAATTGATGCCTGTAATCAGTTTGGCTCTAACCAGAAAATTTACTACAAATTGACACTAAGTTGTCACCACACCCTTCTTACACAGAATTCATTTCAATTTATGAAACGTGTTGACTGCCTGTCATGTGCTGGGCACATTCTAGGTGTTTGGAATACATCAAAGAACAAAAGAAACTAAAATCCTTGCTACTTTGGTTTTAACCTTCTAATGCGGACAGATAGTAACCCAATAAATACAAATCTAGTCTGTTAGAAGGTGGTAAGTATTATGGACCAAAATAAAAAAGACAGGGAGTAGGGTGGGTGGTCAGATTGCCATGTTATGAAAGTAGGCAGGGTAAAGCTCACTGAGAAAGTGAGATTTAAGCAAATTCAGGAGGCGAGTGAGTGAGTTGGAGTGTTGGATCGGAGTGTGCATGGCAGAGGCCCACAGTAGCTGAGGCATGAGCTGTGCCCAGCAGCAGAGAACAGGGAGTGTGGGGAATGCCAGCTCTTCCACTGACCTCAGCTGTGACTGGGCTTGGGAGATTCCAGAGGCAGCTTTGCTGGGGAGGCCCTCTGGGTGCTCCTTCCTGCTTTCTGTCATGACTTGCCACTGCACAGTTGGATTACCATTGCTCACGTCTGACATCGTGGTTTCCTGTCCTATTTCAGGTTAGAGATGACAATAAGAGACAACACCCGTGCCTGGTGGAGTTCTCCAAGCTGCCTGAACAGGAACGCAATTACAATTTACAGATGTCTCTTGAGACCCTGAAGTGAGTTTAACTTTTTTTTATTTTCCAGTCTGCCTTACCTCAAAGAAACCAGGTACTGATGTTATACTCTAAGTAAGCTATGGAATATTTTAATTCCAGCTGGAACTTTTCATAATGCACAGCCAGACTGGATCAGTATGTGTTGGGAATTATGCTTGGCCCTATTATTTTGTGTCTTTATGTTCTACATCAGTATTTTCCAAAGGGTGTCTTGCAGGTGTTTATGATATTACAGAATATGAGGGTTCTGTGATCTAGAGTGTGGACCCTGGACCAGGAATGAGGCCATCACAAATTGCTACTGGTTTGTGACAACATAAATAAAAATATTAAGAGTAAATGTTTAGAAACTTTTATAACAATCTAAGGGAGAAATTTTGTCTATTAAATCCCATAATTAAAAAAAAATGTAAGCTGATATTTTATATATCTGCATTTTTAACTTTATTTTTCTCTAACAATTTTATTGTATTTTATCAGAGAATCAGACCACGATGGACTGGAAATTAAAAGAAAATAAATCTTTCGCCACAGATAGTTTGAGAAGGACTGATCTAATACATTAAAAAGATGGTGAATTAAGAGTGTTAAACAATTTTTATTTTTACTGATGGAATTTTCAGAACTTTTAATATGTTACTGTGTACTGTGAATATCCAAAATGTGATAGAGCCTATGGTGTTTTCTAAATTTATTTAACTATAGAACCCTCTTTTCAGGGAGTACCTCTGAGGACCATTTATCTGAGCAACACACTTTGAGAAAAGCTACTATAGAGTATTTTATATCAACTTGTACAGGCAAATTTGCTTTTCAGTGACTTTTTGCCGATCTCTTGAATTTGCCAATTATTTTTACAGATGGAAGAGTGGGGCTGGGATAGAATAAAGGAAGAAATATAATTTAAAATTTTAATATAGAAAAGTTCAGAAAATATTTTTGAAATGCTTGTAACTTTTATTTTGTTCCTTTTCCATCATTGATGTTCTACAGAACCAATTTGTTCAAATAGGTCACTTATCCTCATATCTTTTTATATTAGGTATGAAACACTACCTTTGTTAAGAATAAGGAGGTATTTTCATTGAAGCCATTTTACCAAGGACTCGGAACATAAAACTTAACACTGTTTCACATTCTAGGATTTGGACTCAGGCATATCTTTAAAGATGCAGATTAATTATGATGGAAATAAATTAGGCACAGATTAAATTTAGATTCTACTAGTAACTTAAAAGGAAAAGGAGTATATACAAATCAAGTAAAATTGAGAACCCACTAAAGGTAAAAAATGACAAGGGTTGCCTGTAATAAGGAATGCACACTGCTTCGTCATGACCTGGGTATTGTATTCAGTGTCTCTGATCTTCCTTTGTGGTCATGACAGGAGGTTTGTGCATTTAGCTCAGTAATTCACAGCAGTGCATTATTCCTCCATTTTTTACAACATAACATTTTATGAAACATGAAAGGTCATGACCTAACATAATTTAGTCAGATTTGCAGTATATCCCCTGTCATTTTAGTGGTTGACAGCCAAGCCAGCGATTGCAAAGAGTGAATCCTGGAGTATAGAAATCTCCTTATTTGCATTAAGTATGTTGAGCTTCTGACTGCTACATATATAATCCCATTTTGTTCCTGACAGGTACTTGTGGCTGGTTTGATTAAACATCAATACTGCATGTATGATGGTATAATTCCCTTGTGGTCATTGCTAATGACCCTTTCCATGAGCAGCATCTCTTTATTGATTTTCTTATAGCTAATTCACCTATTTGTTTAAAAACCAAATTGGGGGGGAAAAGCCCCTACTTCTCCAAGATTCACGCTGTGCCCAAGGCCTGTAATTTAGAGAAAGCACAGTAATTTCTTTACTCAGTTATTTCATTGGTGGGCACCTGGGCAGAGCTAGTGAGAGCCCAGGCTCTGGAGGTGAATAGTCTGGGTTCAGGGACTTGCTTGACCATGGGAATCTTGCTGGAGTGACTCAAATTCTCTGAACCTTATGTTTTCTTCTCCTCAGTAAAATGGGGATTATAACGTATCTACTTCATGGAATTATTGTGGGAACTAAATGATAGAATATTTTTAAAGTCTTTAGCACCATATGTCTGACAGAGATATACAGTCTAGGTTTTCCTTTGTTTTACCATATATATGGGAAGGATGAAGAACTTTATTTATTTAAATCCTGAGCCAAATAACAAATAAGCACAAAATTATTCCAGAATATTCCTTATTTTGGGTTGAGGGGTGATTTAATGTGAATAAGAATTTTTGATGCTCTTTCTGTGATTTTCTGTCATGTGAATTGTTGACAAAGACAACTTACTTTAGACTCAAATTGTCGTCTGTGTATTGTACAATACTGCCAAATCCTGACACCCTCTTTCAGAACAGGACAGCTTGTGAGAGCATGCCAGATGTCCCCCAAATGTAACCAGTGTTTCTGCTGGAGGTTTAGTTTCTGGTTTAGTCTTCAGTTCATACAATATTTTCCAAATTCTAGATCTTAATTTCTGAATAAATAGCTTACATTTTGGAAATTAGTGTTATAATGATTTATAATCAATGCATAGTGTATGTTCATAGAATGTTTCTTTAGAAGTTAACAAAACTATCGTGAGGCTGCAACAATGGTTTTGTCCTTAAAAGTATTTTTAGGAAATACAGTGTGTTTGTGTGCATATGTGGGAGAAGGGTGGAGAGGAATGGAAGGGACCAGGGCCAGTGAGGGGAGCGGTATGTGTACCTTCCTTTTTTCTGTCTCTTGCTGGCAACAATCTTCCCAGTCTCTAATGTGAATCTTATGTCCAGTGCCGGGTCCTTTCTCTTCACTGTGCAGACTCTCAGGAGTTATTCTCTTCACACCCATGACTACTTACTGCACAAGTGCTGACAACTGCCCCGATGTTCCTTTCTACCCCAGATGTCTGCTCTGCTCTGAGCAACGGAGTGTGCGTATTTCACCCCTCAGTTGACATCTTCTCTGGGTGCGTCAGAAGCACCTTGACCTCCAGCCATACCTCCCTGTGAATAGCACCCCCTGCTGGTCAGCCTGCTGCCCCGGAACCTAGGAATCTTCCTGGACGTCTCCTTTTGTTTTATCTCTGCATCTGTCCTGTCATCAAGTCCTCCCGGATATACATCCAGTCTGTCCTCTTCCTCCATTTCACAGCAATCACCCTGGCTCAAGCCACCATCATCTGTCACCCAGACTATCCTGGTAGCCGTCTCCTAACCCTTCCTCCCACTGGCCCTCTTCATGTTCACACAGCGGCTGAGCTGCACACACTCAGACATTCATACACATGCTCATTGGCTTCCCGTTGCACTTGAGCAGAATCCAATATCCTCATGAGTGTGGGTGGGGCCTGGATGATCTGACACTTCCTACTGTTTAGAGGATCTTGTGTCACTCTTCCCCTTGTTCTCCATCAGCCCCCACGGTCTTTCCCTCCAAGGAGTTAAACTTCCTACTCCCTTACCTATCCTGTTTCCCTTGCCTAGACTGTTCTTGGCCTTACTGGTAAGTGGGCTCCTCAGTAATTATCCCGTAGGTATCTGCTTAAATGTCACTTCCCAAGTAAGAATTTCCCCTCTCCATCCTCTCCCTCCCTTATAACACCTCATAGTATTTTTATAGCTCTCAACACAATTTGTAATGTTACTTTCTGAGGTTATTTAATATTTGCTTTTCCTACTGTAAGCTTCCTGAAGGCAGGCACAATGATTTTTTTTAAGACTTTATTTTTTAGAGCAGTTTTAGATTCATAGCAAAGTTAAGCAGAAGGTACAGAAATATCCCTTATTCCCTCTGTTCTCACACATAGTGTCCCACATCATCAACATCCCATTATGCATTTGCTACAAGTGGAGAACCTACACATGATTATCACCCAACATTCATAGCATGCTTTTTCTTTTGATTCACCATCGTAAAGCTATTCCTAATAAGGCTTATGGCACATAACATTTTCTCAGATGCCACCTTGCTTGGATATTGCAAATGTACCTCAAATTTTGTGATTTTTTACCTAATCTCTGACTTCTTTCAGTTTCCTTCTTTTATAGTGTCAAGTAGCCCCATAACACAAACCAATGATCTAGGAGCCATCCTTGACATTTTTCTTTCCCTCACCCATGGCTTTCTCATCACCTTTTAATCCATCCACTTCTTGCCTTTTCTTCCATCACTAATGATGCTGTCACCCACCATCAGCTCCAATACCATCACCACCCTACACCACTCTGGTCTAAGCTACCATTATTTCTCACTTGAAACTGTATTATTGTATTAGTCCGTTTCTGTTGCTTTTAACAAGATACCTGAAACAGGTAATGTATAAAGAAAATGAAATTTATTTCTTACAGTTTTGGGGGCTGGGAAGTCCAAAGTCCAGGAAACACATCTGGTGAGGGCCTTCTTCTTGATGGTGACTCAGGGTGTCACATGGTGAGAATGACAAGAGCTCTCTGGTGTGCTCCTTATAAAGCCACCAGTTACCACCTATGATAACTCATTACTCCATGAACGGATTAATCCATTCATGAGGACACAGTTCTCACAATCTAATCACCTCTCAAATATCATAATTGGATTTTCTACTGTCTTAACACTGTAACAGTGGGGATCAAGATTCCAATACATGAACTTTTTGGGGACACATTTGACCCATAGCAAACATCCTCCCAACAGATCCAACTGAAATACACCCTAGCTCCCCTCTTCGCCATGCTGCACTTTGTAGCCAGCATGATCTTTTCAAACATTTAGGTGACTATGTCATTCTCTCTATGTAAAATCCTTTAATGGCTTTTCAGTACTCTTAAGATAAAGACTGCCTTCATTTGCCTAACTGTCCCAAAAGGTCTGGCTTCACTTCTCACCAGCCTCACCACTAGCGAAGCTACCCTTTTACTCTTTTATACCCTTTCTGCCTGCCTGTTCACACATTCCCTTCCACCACAAGGTCTTCTTTATGTTCCCTTCTCTG